GAAGGAAGGAAGGAAGGAAGGAAGGAAGGAAGGAAGGAAGGAAGGAAAGAAGGAAGGAAGGAAGGAAAGAAAGGAATGAAGGACTTACTAAGCACCTATTATGGGCCAGGCACTGTGCTAAGCTCTTTAAAAATATTATCTCATTTGATCTTCACAACAAGCCTGGGAGGTGGGTATTATTATGATCCCCATTTTATAGTTGAGAAAACTGATGCAAACAGCTGTGCCTGCCCAGGATCATACAGCTAGTGAGTGTCTGAGGCCAGATTTGAACTCAGGTCTTCCAACCTCCGGGCCTGTAGCTTTATCCACTGTGTCATCAGCTGCCCCAGAGAGGTTAAATAAATTGCTCCTGGTCACACTGATAATATAAAGCCAAGGATTGAAACCCAGGTCTTACTGACTCAGTACTTATCCTATTATGCCAGATATAGTAGGGAGATGATAATGCTGGTGAGGCATCTTTTCTGATGCCTCCCCACAGGGTGGCAGTGACTCTGGGTTTTCAGTGGCTCTCCCAATGGAACACAGCCATTCTACTTGGCAGGTTCTACCAAGCTGGGAAGCTTTAAGTGACAGATTTGCTGTCCAAGGGCCGGCCTGGCTAAGCTCTAACAAGGTCATTACCAGGAGGCCGGCTGTCAGGGATGATTCCTTTTTTTTGGAAGGGATACGATCTTCACTGGTGGAGGCAGCACCTGCTCTGATGAAACTAGTATGGAAGAAAAAGAGGCAAAAGCAGAGATTTAGTCCCCAGAGTGGGGAAGGGTGAAACTGTGTTCGTTGGGTGCTAGCTTTATGGAGAGCATCGTCGTGGTTAGGTGGGGTGCAGTGAGCCCTGGGTTAATGGTCCAGCTGTGTCAAGTACTAGCTGTGTGGTCTCAAGCAAGTCAGGTGACTTTTCTGGGCCTCAGTTTTTCCTTTGGTGAAAAAGGAGATTGGACTGGATGATCTGTAATGTCCCTTCCAGCTTTAACATCCTGCGATTCTGTGATAGAGACTGGGGAGGGATACAAAGGAAATACCAGATGCAGTTTCCCAAGGCTCCAGGGAAGAGCTCTTAAACTGGGTCAGCCATGCCACAAAGAGGGTACCAGGATGGCCAGGGGAGGCCCTGTAGGGACATTATCACAAAGCCAACTCTACAACTGGAAGAACAAGTCTGTCCCCCACATTCTGCTGTTGGGGGATGGCCAGAAGAGGCTATACTCAACTCTCCCCTTACGGTCTTTACTCATTTCCTTCTCTTCCTCTGACTTTAGGCCTTCACCAGAAGAGGCTTTACAGTGGCGTGATTCCCTGGAGAAGCTTCTGCAGAACAACTGTAAGTCTTGACAACTATTAGTGCTGGACCTAGAGTCAGGAAAACCTTCAAATCTTGCCTTAAACACTAGCAATGTGAACTTGGGCAAGTCTGTTAGCCTCCATCTACCTCACTTTCCTTATCTATAAAATGTAGATTATGTTAGCACCTACCTCTAATGGTTCTTGTCAGGATAAAATGAGATAATATATATGTTTTGCCAACCTTAAATCTCTATCTAAATGCTAGCTATAATAATAATTGTTGTTCAATCATTTCTCATTTGTCTCTGGCTCTTCATGACCCCATTTAAGGTTTTCTTGGCAAAGGTACTGGAACGGTTTGCCATTTCCTTTGTCAGCTCGTTTTACAGATAGGGAAACTGAGGCAGACAGGGTTAAGTGACTTACCCAGGGTCACACAGCTAGTAAGTGTCTGAGGTCAGAATTATTAACTGAGTTCTTGGCATCATCCTTGCTCGGAAGTCAGGGAATTGGAAGGGACCTTCATATTCAGAGTCTAATTTCCCTCATTTTGTAGAAAAGGGAACAGAATTTTAAGAAAGTTCACTTGGGCAAGATTACACAGTGAGGTGATGACCAAGACAGTGCTTCCAAGTCTCTACCACTTTACTCCAGATCTCCTGTTAGGACTTTTCCATTGCTCCAAGTCTGACTCCATCCCCCACCCCGACCCCCATCCCAACTCATCCTTCACCATTGGCACCAGCCACTTGCCAGCTCTTCTCTCTCCTTTTTGCCTGTTTGCTCTTCATCTACTATCATAGCTCTCTACTGCAGACTTTTGGGAATAGAACAAAACTACTTGGTTGGCTTAGTAAAAATGTCTTAGAACACAGGGGAGGAAAGTTCAAAATAGTTAAAATCAATAGATCGAGAATGGCAGAGCTGGAAAGGAACCTTAGAAATCAACTAAACCACCCTCTTCATTTTACAGATAGAGAAACTGAGGCCCACAGAGAAGTGACTTCTCAAGGTGACAGACCTGGTTAGTGACAGAACTCAGAATCACATGGAATCGTAGGATTTCAGAATTGTAAAGGACCTTAATGATACCTGCTTGTCCACTCCATACCTGACAATTAAATCCACCTCTGCAATTTCAGCCCTTGAGGATAGGGACTGTTTTGTTTTGCCTTTCTTTGTATCCTCAGCACTCACACAGTGCCTGGCACTAGACACTTAATAAATGTTAGCTGGTTGATTGATTGATCCTATTTTTGCCCTTAGCAGCCAAATAAATTGTAAGCTTCTTGAGGGCAGGCACTATCTTTTGCCTTTGTATCACCATCACTTACCACAATGCCTCACACATAGTATGCATTTAATAAATGTTTATCGATTGATTGTTAAATAGAACAAGGCCCTTTCCCACACAACACTCCTTTTAGTAATTTAAAACTGCCTCACCAAGTCCTTCATTTCTTCAGGTTAAACGCCCTTAGTTTCTCCATCAATCCTCATATGCCAGGAATTCAGGGTCTTTGAGTATTATGGTTGATCGCTCAGAGATCAATCAATCAATAAACATTTATCAAAGGCTTCCCAGGCTATATTCAAGGCAGAGACCCCCAACTCACTTTCTCCAGTGTGGTGTCTAGAAATGAACATGATATTCCAGGTGTGGTCTGAGCAACAACACTATTAGTTCCTTAGAACTAAGTTCCTAGTCCCGGGACTCCTGACTCCCAATCTAGTGTTTTGTTCTTCTCTTTCCAGTCCAAAGATCCCCCTCTTTAGGAAAGAAAATAGAAGCTAAGAAGTAATTCTCCCTTCTTTCTATTGTCTATTATCATCAACTTACCCATTCCCTATCATCCTTTTAGTCTTCTTCTTCTTTCCAATACAGTTTTTAAAAGCCACCTTTTCATTGATCCAAAATATCTCTTCTGATTCTGTGTATTTATTATTTTTTTTTAGTAAGTGCTTTAGGTAAAGTTCTAACTCACAACTTCCCGTTCTTCACTCTTATTACTGTTATATAACTCCTGGACCTAACTAACCAATAAGACAGCTACAGACCCTGTTGGATTTCTTGGGGCATTCAATTACTAGGTTAGTGTCCTTTATTAACTGAGATTTGACTTGGAGGTGTTATAATCCATGGAATTATGGTGACAAAATGAACAATTATGGAATCAAATCAATCCTTCTATTGCTATTTATTGATGTTTTTAGGGTGTCAAAGTGTTCGCTAGTCCCATGCTTGTATCTTTAACAGGAGGCAGGAAAGTAGATAAATCTTGATCTATCCATGTGCATTCCTTTTGAGTCACTATAATCCTTGGGGAGAATTGCCAATATTTCTAAGGACGTTATTAGACAAAAAGCTGTTGGGATAAGTGAACTAGGATAGAAGGTAAGCTGGAGGCAGAGAGTTTTAAATCTTTAGTGTTTAGCTCAGGAGTCGATGTCTTTCGTAGTGAAAGGCACCAAATCCTTTATTTTCAACACTGTGTCTTTGGGGCCTGTGTCTTACATTCCAGGGAAAGACATCATTCATCATTTTAAAGTCCCATCCAAATCAGTACTTCAGACCTCCAAACCCACTAAAACAACATAATTATGACTGAGAAAATGTTGTAAATATTAGGCCTAGAGGAATTAGAAAAGGATATCCACTCTATTCCCCTGCCAACAAGCAAGATCGTGACTTCTGCATAGTAGGTACTTCGTAAGTATGAATGAGTGAATGGATGAATAATGAATCTTCTAGCTCTACATACATAATAGATCTATCTGTTCCCCACCCCCACTCCCATCCCCCATTCTAATCTGCCAACAGACTCCAGGCCAGCACCATCAAATGCCATACCAGGGAGCCATGGACCATTCTCCTCCCCTGATCCCTTATTGCCACATTCTCCAGTTTCCAGCAGGCACTAGATGCTGATGCATATCCTTGCTTCCCAAGGTCTACAGGGCTTAGCCTTCAGCCCTGCTGCCCTCCTTCTCTGAACTTCCCTAAGTACCACCTGACCTTTCCATCTGCCGTGAAATGAACCAAACCCTCCTTTATGGATTGTCTCCATCTTTTAGACTCTGTTTTTCTTTTCTATGCTTGATACTTAATAAGTGATTTTTAAAATTATTTATTTATTTTATTCTGAACTTAAGAAATAAACAGGCACTTTTATAACATAATACAATAGGGAAAAAAGACAATTGTACACGAAGCTACAAATCTATTATGTACAACTTGCTATTCCTTTTAAATATATAATAAAATTATAATGTAATTTTCTTTTTTTAAGCTTTTTTCTTCCTCCTATTCCCTATCATTAGACACAAATTTCCATTCCATTCCAATGATTTTGTTCAGTCTCCTTCAAAAACCTAATTCCAGGGCATATCAATCCTATTTGTAAGTTAAAAACTAACACATCTCATGTCCCACAATGGTAAATATCTAACATTAGCCCATGAGACCATTAAATGTTTGGGGAAAACCAAAGGGCCAGAAAACTTAGTATGTAAACATTTTTGTTTCCAAGATTACATCTTTCTGATTGAGTATAACAGTTTACACATCCAAGAGAAGGCACATCACATTCACTCTGGGTATTGTGTCTTGATTTACAGCGAACTTAGACAGCCTTTGTGCTAATTCTGGGCACTACCCATGACCCCTTAAAGTAAACCTGTCTTCTCTTGATCTTTCCTTAGCGGAAATGAAAACAGCTGGGTACAATCCTCTTAAAAACAAAAAAAAATGATATTTATGTGTTTTTTTAAGGCCATTATTAAGTCACATCTTAGCCTTCTCTTCTCCAGGCTACATGATCTCAGATTCCTTGGGGCTTTAATCATTAGTGTGGCTATACTCTAAAAATGTTCCTATTCCTATATGTTCTCTTTTAGTTGCGGAGGATCATCTGGCTTTCATTCACGAGGTCTGGAGGGACTCACAAAGTGTATTTTCTTTAGACTCAAAAATAAATGGCTCTAGACAATTTAGGAATTATTATTAAATAACCCACCCCGCCCCAGCCCCCAATGACAGTATGTGAGTCCAGGAAATTGAGATACAACACTCAGTAAGCAAGAAATTTCCATTCAAGACCTACTTTTCCCAAAAGGTTCTAAAGGTCACAATGTTTCCTAGAGGCACTGTTGCTTCATTTGATCCTTGCTTAACTAGGGTTGTTATTGTCCTTGCTTCACATAGGGGTGCTAAATGATTTACCCAAATTTCTGACTCTAGGACTAGCACCATGACTTCCCAGCCCAGCTCTATCAGGCCATCAGTTACTTATACCATCTTGTGATCATAAATAACAGTCAAATTAATTAACCTCTACTGGGATTGAAACTACTACATTGAACTCATTGACAGTGTAGTACCTGAACTAATCAACTCACTTCATGTCCAAGGCCCCCCAACTGTTGCAGAGTCAAATAATTTTGGAGCTGGAAGGGACCTTTGGAGCTCATGTAGTCCACCTGGCTTATTTCACAGATTAAAAAAATGGATCAAGAAATGTGACGTGACCTGCTCAAATTGACACAGCAAGTTAGTGACTAGCAGTGACAAGCATTTGTTGAACCCTAATTATATGCCAGGAATAGTGCTAAGCCCTAGAAACACAAAAAAGGCAAAAACAAGTCCTCAGTCAGTCAGTAAAAATGTATCAAGAGCTTACAATGTGCCACACACAGTGCTCAATGCTAATATTAAGTCCAAAGACAATCCCTACCCTCATGGAGCTACCAGTCTAATGGGAGAGACAACGTGCAAACAACTATGTGCATACAAGATATAGACAGAGCAAATGGAAAGTCATCTCAGAGGGAAGGCACTAGCAGTGGCAGGGCTGGGGGGAGCATTGAGGAAGAGGACCTAGAAAGGCATCATGAAGATGGTAGGATTGGAGCCAAGACTTGTAGAAAGAGGGAGAAGCCCAGGGGAGGATGTGAGGAGGAAGAGAATTCTGGGTAGGCTGACTCTTAATCACAGAGATGCTATTTTAACATCAGAAATATAATGACACCGCAGGTCTC